GCTCTTCAGCTTCGTTAAGTTTTCTATTTACAGCTGGTCTCTGTCCACGGGTTTGACGTCCTTTCCATCGTCCACGGAGGCGGCCCTCAGGAACATCAAATTCACGTGCAGTGGCAGCAACGTTCGGTTTTTCGCATTCCTGCAACTTGCAACATGCTTGCTCGATCCTGACTTCAATCTCAACATATTCCTCCGGCATTTTAGTGGATTTTTTTGTTGCTTATTCGCACTCGGCAATGGGTGGTTGAGAAATCTGACGTTGAGCCGAATCTGACGTTGAGCTGTCGGGCACTCACTTGTGAGTGCCCATGGTTGCGATTTACGAGCGACTGTGGGTTGTGGCGGAGTCACAACCTTGGCACGGTTACCTTAAGCGACAACAGGGGCCGTCTGTCGTGTCCCTCCGGGGCCAAGAATAGGTGCTAGAAGGCTTCAAGATCTCTTACGGTTGTCAATCCCCGCTGATGATTTCTCGGACTATGATACCAAGGTCCACTGCGCCACCGACCCGTTATCGAACTTTAGTCCTGGAGTCTACATACCGGTATTTTGTACTAGGGTATCGTACGAAAAGTGCGTTCAATGCTGGAATAGAAGGGCAGATCATGGAGTGCTATCATAGCATATTTCGCAGAACCAGGATGAACCCCAGGGGGCGCGCGCCCCCCCGCCTTCTGCTATGGACTCAAAGCAATGTAGGCATGAAGGGGGGGGGCCAGTAACAAGAATCAACGAAGGCCTTGGGGCTCGAGTTTATGAAGCCCACGAACACCCTTAAGGCCTAAAGGATTTCCGGGAATGCGCAAAATGCCCCACGATAACTGAATTGAAAGTTGTATCATAGCGGATTTCCTCGGTATGGGGGGAACGGGGTAATAATAAAAAAGGGCCAAAATTCAGAATAATCCCTCCATCGTCCTTGACACTGCTCTTGACTACTATCTAGTGAACGGCTATTAACCCATAGAAAAAGGTAAAAAAAGAAAGATGGGAATTGGCGCGGGATAAGGTGAAGAAAAAAAAAAGGAGGGTTGACATGGAAGCAGGCTCGGCGAACTCTTGAACCCCCTCACTTTCTCGTCAAGGGCTTCGTTGCCGCGTTGATCAGCCTCACACTGCAGGGATTTGGGGGCCCTGATGCGGCAGTGATGTCTATTGATCGGCTCGGTTAGCCTTAGCTGCAACTTGACTTTTTGGAGGGAGAAATCCGCGGCAGAGGTAAAGCCGGACACCCGGGCATAAGGAAAGGTGTGTCGGTGGGATCGCTCCAAGACGTATCATACGAGTACCAAAAGTAAGTGAATACGGTATCTTTGCTCGAAAGTTCCCACTTCAGCGTCTACGCACACATCTTCTCTATGAGGACTGCCTCCAACTGTTACTGTGCCGGAGTTTTTTTGCTATTCCCACCAGATATTAGACTTGCGGACGCATGCTGGGCAGGGACGTGAGCACTTGGAGGAATATATCAACTGTACTGTACGTACTTCACAGCCGGGTGGTTTTCGTCCCTGTTCCACTACCTCCACCCCCTTGGTATAATATTGTACCCAATCGTGAACAACCACATTATTACCCGGACTCGCCTTCGCCCAAATCGGAATTAGAGCCAACGCCCAAACTCCCACAGAGCTGGAAATTGCATTGGGAAAGTCTCCTCGCTTTCCGCAGGTCTTCCTCCACCCAGGTTCACGGCTTTCTCATTTCTGTGCTCTATATCGGGGCTTTCCTTTTTTTGCACCCTAACATACCCTCAGACCACACCAATACTCTACGGTAGTTTCACCGGACTCAAGTAACACTGTCTAGGACCCTACTCCGCAACTGCGAACCAAGGATCATAGTTGAATCATTTTCCATCACACCCGACCTGCGAGAACAGCTTCACCTCCAACCAGAGTCCCATATAGAACTAGATGGATAAGTAGGCCACTCTTTGCTTTAGCGCCCCCCGCCCCTGAAAAAGCTGTATCGCGGATTTAACAGCCTTGTTAGCATTACCCCAGTCGAGTCCACTATCCAGGGAACCTACAGGGGAAATAATGGTAGTAACAATGTTTTTGGTAGTTACAATACTATCGGAGGCACGTATATAATGCCGGATATGGCCAGTATCGGAGTTGGGTATCGAGGTTGTGTGCCTGGAGTTGGATATGGGGGTATTATCAGCATTCCTGAGAGATTCCCGGCAAAGAACCAACGTGCTATTAGAACCAAAACAAGCATCCGGGCCATATCGCTTGATCCCCTACGGCAGGAACAGCAACTTCACAGGCCGGAAAAATATCCTAGAATCGGTGAAGAGACTTTCAGAACCTGCATCACACAACCGAATCGCGCTCTATGGGTTAGGCGGTTCTGGGTGCGTATATCAAATATTTCAACACATGAAGAATTCACTAACGCCGCCTAGAAAAACTCAGATTGCCCTAGAATATGTTCATCAGCGCGCCAGCGAGAGTGGTTGTCATGTCTTTTGGGTGGGAGGAAGTGGGCTATCAAAATTCAGCGAGGGCTTTAGGGATGTTGCTCAGCTTGCTCATATTTATCCAACCAACGCAGAGAAAGACCCAGAGGGGTACCTGAAGAGTATAAGGAGGTGGTTTGAGGGCCCGAACAGCGGTGACTGGATCCTGGTGATTGACAACGCCGACAATGATACGGACTTTGTTGGAAACAACGGTCCCATCGCTAAGTTCGTACCACAAGGCATCAAAGGGACTGTGATATTCACCACTAGATCTGGTGTGGTTGCATCCAGGCAGGGGTGTAAAGTAGTTGAGGTTGGAGAAATGGGTGGGGACGATGCCCTAGAGTTGTTTTCCAAACGCTTTACCAGCGGGGGCAGCTTGGGAGATGAGGGAAAAACGGCTATCGCAATGATCGTGGCCTCAGTGCATCGCATGCCACTAGCTATTGTGGGTGCGGCAGCCTACATGACCGAGACCAAGACATCACCATCGATTTACTGGTCCATTTTGCGGGAGAACGATGAACGAGCGAGGCGACTACTTTCACACCAGTTTTGCGATATCCAGCGAGAGGTTGATGTGACTGAGAGTATATTAGGTACCTATTTTATCACCTTTGATAGGATCACACAACAGATGGCCCCAGCTGCGGATCTTCTACGGCTAATGGTATTCCTCGATCGTCAGAACATACCGGAAGAGATATTGAGCCAAAGCGGCTTGAAAGGGATGGATGATCCGGTTGAATTTCGTCAGGCGATCGGAAGGCTTTTAGCATTCTCGCTGGTTACCGTTGTTAAGCGTGAGGAGAGACCATTCTATGAGCTTCATCGTTTGGTGCAACTATCCTTGCAAGTGTATTACCCAACTAAGCAGTTGAAGCAAGCAAGGGCCGCCGCGCTGAGAGTGGTTTCACGACTATTCCCGCAGGGTGAGAGTGAGCAGCGGGAGATTGGTCATATATACATTCCGCATGCACTTACAGTAACTCAAGATTCGCTGGATCCTATTGCGGGAGAACTTTGTTTTCACATGGGGCGGTACTTCAGAGAGAAAGGCTCCTACAGTGATGCAGAAATTCAGTTTCGCCGATGTATTGCACTTCAAGGGAAGCCTAAAGATTATGGCCGGGGTGCCGAGGATCAACAGAGATTGAAGCTCCTGGGAGCAGCAACTGGATATCGACCGATGACCGATGTGGCGGTGAAGATGTTTCGGAGAATACTGGGCGGGCTTAAGAAGTACCCGCATTCAAACAGTGCTCGTATTCTAAAGTACGTTGGTTACTTGGCTCTCACGCTGCAGGACCAGGGAAAATACGAGGAATCAGAAACGATGTATCGGCGGACACTGGATGGATATAAAAAGATTCTGGGACCGGACCACCACGACACCCTAACGAGTACCAACAACCTGGCCACCGTGCTGCAAGACCAAGGGAAGTACGAAGAAGCAGAGAGGATGCATCGGCATACACTGGAGATACTGGAGAAG